ATTGCCGCCGGCTTGGAAGGATTTCAAGAACTACCTTAAGCATAAGCGAAAGGAAATGAACTTGGAGCAACTGATCCTCCGTCTGCGGATTGAAGAGGATAATCGGAAGAACGATGGGAAACTCCCAATCGTTCATGGCGCCAAGGCAAACGTGGTGGAGCATGCAAAAAGCTCCAAAAATAAAAACAATGGGAAGAGCAAGCTCGGTCCCAAGGGAGGCGTTTCCAAGACTAAGTTCAACGGAAAATGCTTCAATTGCAATAAAAATGGGCACAAGTCCTCGGATTGCAAGGCACCAAAGAGGAAGAAAGATTCTCACGTCAACTTGGTGCAAGGTGGGCAAAAGGATGAAGACATCATCCTAGCGGCCGTGGTGACGGAAGTCAACCTCGTTGGATCCAATTCCAAGGAGTGGTTTGTGGACACCGGTGCTACCCGGCATATTTGCTCAAACCGGGAGTTATTCACTACTTTTGAGCCATCAAATGGTGAGAAAGTGTGGATGGGAAACTCGGCTCATTCCGCGGTTGAAGGCGTGGGCAAGGTGGTCCTGAAGATGACTTCGGGCAAGGAGCTGACTCTTAACCAAGTGCTGTTCGTTCCGGAGATACGCAAAAACCTGATTTCCGGTTCGTTGTTGAACAAGCATGGCTTTCGTATGGTTTTTGAGTCGGACAAATTGGTTTTGTCCAAGTCGGGAATGTATGTGGGCAAGGGGTATGCATGTGATAGGCTGTTTAAGCTCAATGTAACGACTATTATTATTAATAATAATAAAATCCCTTCTGCTTACTTGCTTGAGTCTTCCAATGTGTGGCATGGTAGACTAGGACATGTTAATTTTAATTCTATACGTAGATTAATTAACATGGAACACATTCCTAAATTCACAATTGATGTGAAGCACAAATGTGATATTTGTGTAGAGGCAAAACTAACGAAAACGTCTTTCAAATCGGTTGAAAGAAAAACGGAACCACTAGAATTAATTCATAGTGACGTTTGTGATTTTAAATCAATACAAACACGTGGCGGTAATAAATATTTTATTACTTTTATCGATGATAGCACTCGCTATAGCTATGTTTATTTGTTGAAAAATAAACACGAAGCAATCGATAAATTCATTCTTTATAAGAATGAAGTGGAAAACCAACTTAATCGACAGATTAAAACGGTTAGGAGTGATCGAGGTGGTGAGTATGAAGCACCAATTGGTGACTTTTGTGCTAGTGTGGGTATAGTACACGAACGTACCGCCCCCTATTCACCTCAATCAAACGGTGTTGCCGAACGAAAGAATCGCACATTGAAAGATATGATGAATGCGATGCTAGTAAGTTCGGGCTTGCCACAAAATATGTGGGGTGAAGCGATCTTAACAAGCAATTACCTTTTAAATAAGGTTCCCCGGAAAAAATATGATAAAACTCCGTACGAGTTGTGGAAAGGCAGACGGCCTTCCTATCAATATTTGAAAGTGTGGGGGTGTCTTGCTAAGGTGCTTGTACCAACACCTAAGAAAATAAAAATAGGTCCAAAAACGGTGGATTGTATTTTTATTGGATACGCACAAAATAGTAGTGCTTATCGGTTTTTAGTGTACGATTCCAATAATCCGGATGTACATAAAAACACAATAATTGAGTCAAGGAATGCATCATTCTTTGAAGACGTATTTCCATGTAAGTCCAACGAAGGACAAAGCACGTCAAAACGAACGTTTGACGTAGCTATGGAAAATACTAGCGAGGGATCCGGTGAAGAAGCCGAACCTCGACGTAGCAAACGTGCTAGAGTTGAAAAATCTTTCGGACCGGATTTTCTCACATACTTGGCAGAATTCGATTCGAATATTCTAACTTGTATGGTAGAAAATGAACCGGATTTTCTAACATGTTTGGTAGAAAATGTGCCACGGACTTATACGGAAGCCGTAACGTCTACCGAAGGACCAATGTGGAAAGAAGCCATCAAAAGTGAGGTGGATTCTATCCTAAAAAATCACACATGGGAATTGGTTGATCTCCCTCCGGGATGTAAACCTTTGGGATCCAAGTGGATTTTTAAACGTAACATGAAACCTGACGGTTCCATTGGTAAGTATAAGGCCAGACTTGTAATCAAGGGATACAAGCAACGTGAGGGCCATGATTACTTTGACACGTATTCTCCTGTGACGAGAATAAATTCCATTAGGATGATACTAGCAATTGCCGCTTTGCGGAATTTGGAAGTTCATCAAATGGACGTAAAAACCGCTTTTCTAAACGGCGATATAGACGAAGAAATCTATATGGAACAACCTGAGGGTTTTCGTGTTCCAGGCCAAGAAAAGAAGGTTTGTAAATTAATTAAATCATTGTACGGATTGAAACAAGCCCCTAAACAGTGGCACGAAAAGTTCGATCATGCAATGTTAATTAATGGGTTTAAAATAAACGAAAGTGACAAATGCATCTATGTGAAAAGCACGGTAGACGGCTATGTCATTTTATGTTTATACGTGGATGATATACTCATCGTGGGTAGCAATAATCTAATGATTAATTCTACCAAAAGCATGTTAAATTCTAAATTTGACATGAAGGATATGGGGCTGGCCGATTTAATCCTTGGGATTAAAATAATTAGAGGACCTGAGGGTCTGACGCTAAGCCAATCCCATTACGTTGATAAAATCCTTACTAAATTTAATAAGGATGATTATCAAGAGGCAAGGACGCCATTAGATAAAAACGTACACCTGACCAAAAATCGTGGAGAGTGTATTTCTCAAGTAGAATACGCTAGGATTATTGGCAGTTTAATGTATCTAATGAGTTGTACCAGGCCTGATATTGCCTTTGTGGTTAGTAAGCTTAGTAGATATACTAGCAACCCCGGTGACGAACACTGGAAGGCAATAGTAAGGGTTTTGAGGTATTTACGGAAAACCCAAAACCTTGGACTGCACTACGGAAGATATCCAGCTGTACTTGAAGGGTATAGCGACGCTAGTTGGATATCTGACATTAAGGACTCTAAGTCCACGAGTGGATATGTTTTCACTTTGGGAGGTGCAGCCGTGTCGTGGAAATCCTCGAAACAAACGTTAATAGCAAGATCCACGATGGAATCTGAGCTAATAGCCTTGGATAAGTGCACTGAAGAGGCTGAATGGCTACGCCATTTTCTCGAGGATATTCCAAGTTGGGAGAAGCCTGTCCCTCCAATATGCATACATTGCGATTGTCAAGCGGCAATTGGAAGGGCACAGAGCAATCTCTATAATGGTAAGTCTAGACACGTCCGTCGCAGACATAATACCATTAAACAACTTCTCACAACGGGTGTTATCACTGTTGACTACGTGAAGTCAAAGGATAACATAGCGGATCCGCTAACCAAGGCATTGGATAGAGAATTGTTGGAGAAGTTGTCACGAGGAATGGGATTAAAGCCCGTGAATTGAAAAGTTCTATAGTGGATACCCAACCTAGTTGGTCCTAGGTTCAAATGGGACAACTAAATTATAGAGCGAAGGATGGTCACTGTGGGGGTCCCGGACTCCTACCCACTCCTCGTTGAAACAGTGACTCCCGCACGAGGTTAGCAAAAACGTTTGCTTTAATGATTCTAAAATGTTGATCTACTCGATAACATTGGAAGAGTATGCGGGATACTCGTGAAAGAATCACCTATGTGAGAGAGAAGAGGGCCGCTTCAAAGGAGAACTGTAATGGCTCAGTTCTTTAGAAACTCTTGCAGAACCAGGACGGTGACCCATGGCCAAAACGGGCACACCCATGAGAACGGAACAAAGTTGGAAGGTTCTTGTGTAAAGATAAGTCAATGTTTACACGACGGCAGTATAGTTCAAAGACATCGAGTCTACTAGACAGCCAGTAAATAAACGAGTCTTTACGGCGGAAGGTTCAAAGGATTAAACCTACCTCTCCGTATACAAGGATCATCCGGTGAACACAACGTGTCCTCCTATCTTCGTGTCTTTTTAAGTCTCGAAAATCAATTTTCATTCATGTGGGGGATTGTTGGAAAAATGTGTGAAAAATTGCATTAAATGGCTATTTTGGGGCAATTTTTTGAGTGGGGTCCACTTCCGATTTGGGTCGGGTCAAAGTGGTTTCGGATTGTCCTTGCTTAGGGCTACAATTCGATATATGGTACGCTCAAAACGGATAACGGGTGAATGAGAAATCGCTTTTCGAAGTTTACCCGTTAGAAGGGAAAAACTGGGGAAAAAGGATGGGTTTCTAGTGTTAATTTCCCACACCGGAAAACCCAAGGGATTTGCTACCCTTTATAAAGGGACTCCCCCCTTATGGAGTTAAGATTCTTAAGGGTAAAGGCTCTCTCCACGCGCGCAGGGGGGGGGGGTGCAAATCAAATCCCGAATTCGGAGAAGAAAAACCGCGACTTGCGGACACGAATGTCGTCCAAAAATCTATCTCTCAAGAGATACGATTAATTTTTGTTTTCTTCCCGAAACGTATAATTTTTTCCAAGTTGACAGAATTGCTCTGGGCAGAAGGCCACGACCAGAGGTGCTCCGGTTCTGATGACCACGCATCAGAACTGCTCCAGTTCTGATGGCCTTCGGGCAGAGATGCTCCGGTTCTGATGACCGCGCATCAGAACTGCTCCGGTTCTGATGACCGCGCATCAGAACTGCTCCGGTTCTGATGGCCTTCGGGCAGAACTACGTAGGGGTCTTCTGATGGCTTCTGAACCGTTACAGCAATAAATGCCCAACGTTTATATCTTTTAATGCAGCGTTAAATGGACAGTTCATGGACAATTCAATGCCCAACGGACTGGTCATTGATGTCCAACGTTCAGGTCCATTAATTCACTATTTTCATACAACAAATCCTCCTATATAATGGCTGGCAGGTGGTTTGCAACGACACACGTTCTTACACAAATCCATACACGTTTTAGCTCTAAAAACACACTGCTAGCATTCCGAAAATTTCCCCTGTGTTCGTACTGTGTTCTCGTTCGCTGGAACTTTTGTTTGTGTGCTCAAACACTAGTTCGTTGTCATCGTATCCTGGGAAACTATTGTTGCAACGCTCCTAGCACCGTGGGAGGCAACAAATACGTTTTAAGGACATCGTGCGTAGCACGAGCTTTGACAAATTCTGCTCCATCTCTTTTCTTGTTTTTCTTTCGTCATTTTAATTAATTAATTTATTTTAATTAATTTTCTTTATTTTCCGAAACACACCCAACAGGTTCAATATATTTCTTTCAATTTAAATCGATTTGTCCAATCGTTCTTTAGCTAACACAAATTAGTTTCTAAATTCGTCTGGTTTATGGTAATTTGTAAAACATGTACTATCGTATTTTACCAATACATTCAAATAGATGGTACGTAGAATAATATTACAAACTCGATCAACTTAAAAGTATCGATCAATATAGAAAAGAAAGCATACCTACATATGAGTATGTGACATAAGAACGTACTGCATCATATTTTTAACCCAAATATTTAATATCTAGTTTAAACTTTTCATTTATTCCCACTTTAATATTTCCTTGTAGTGACTAGCTACCATTGGCCGACCGGGTACCACTTAGTGCCCGCCACCGCCACCGCCACCGTAACCTCCTCCATAGCCGCCACCATATCCGCCACCTCCGTTGCTTCTGCCGTTATTTGAACGAGCACCTGATCCTGCATAGGATCCGGCTTCGGATCCTGCATTGCCTCCTCCACCGGAGCTAGTAGAGCTCGAACTTGAACTTGAGCTCGAACTTGATGATGAGCCGCTCGAGCCCGAGCTCGAGCCCGAACCTGCACCGGACCCAGATCCGCCCAGCCCTATACCAATGCCAGTGCCAAGACCAATACCTATGCCGTTACCCAAGTCCAACCCTAAGCCCTGAGGCTTGACTTCTCCGTGGGAGTTATCAATATTGATATTTCGACTTTGGGACACCATAAGAAAAGTAGAAAAAACAAGTAAAGCAACAAGAGCGGAACCTTTTAAGTGCTCCATATATACACCAAATCCTACTTACGCGAGGTGATAGCGTTTTGCAATTTCCTCGTCTAAATAACGACTATTTATAGTGCTAGTTGAGGTTCTTTCTTAAAAAAAACATAATGTTACGATGGGAAATTTTAGTACTCCGCACTAGCTATTTGTAGGTAAGAAATAGAATGGTTTTAAGTCAATCCAAATTATGGATGTTTTTAATTGGATTGACATTTCCCGGTCTGGCCTGATCTGGTCAGGCATGACATGATCTTGTTTGGTATGATCTCTGTGTATTTTATAACTGTATAAGATTGGTGTGATCTGTTCTGGTCTGATGTAGTCGGGACTGGCTTGGTTTGATATGATTTGATCTAATTTGAAATTGAAAACAATTCAAGTAAAAACATCACAAATCCTATCAGACCAAACGTACAATATAAAAGTACAAGCCAACATATGTACCATACCTTTATCGATCAAACTAGATTAGATGATTTAAAATAACAGGCTAGATTATAAAATTTCAATTCACGGTGATGCGTATAAAAGTCAAAGTCTGACCGTATCACAGAAATTAATTTATCTTTACTATGAATACATAAATAACCCAATATACGTATATATTTAATTTATCCCTTTTATCAGTTTATACAATACTATCTAGTACTTCATATACTTCCTCCGTTTTTTTGTAGTTGCAACGGTCAACATTTCACACTTGTCAACGCACGTCTTTGACCATAATTATATCTTAATCTCTATTAGTAAAAAAAATTAAAAATCAGATTTTGAAAATTTGTAATGAGATGAATTGAACACTATTTTTAAAAAAAATAATTCTCATAAAATAATAGTGTAAAATGTAGTCAATATAGAACATGTGAATAATGTAAAATTTACATGTTGTGTTTAAAAAAACGGAGGATAGTATAAGATTATACTTTGTGCGAAGAATAAATGAGTAACGGATATTGTAACTTGAATTTGGTAGAAACACAATTTACTATAGCACATGTACACTTGCACAATTATATTGACCAGAAACAAAGCTTAATATAACTTTTCGTTTAAACCGTGTTCTCAAATATATACTATCGTATATAGCCGGACAGATATTGTCTAAAGAGAGAATTCCCTAAATAGGAGTAAAAAAGTTTTGAAATTCCAAAATAGGAGTATCATGTTTTTATTCCCTAAATAGGAGTAAATTTCTGCCAAGTTTGGAAATTACAAGGCTTTAAACATGGCATTTTTTTCCAAACTTGGCAGATTACTCCTATTTAGGGAATAAAAAACATGATACTCCTATTTTGGAATTTCAAAACGTTTTTACTCCTATTTAGGGTAATTTCTGTTGTCTAAAAGCACAAACAATCTCATTACTTGAGGGGGTATGGATGAAATATGTGGGATGGAAGATTACTATGGAGATGATTAATGAGTGAAAATATTGCTACCTACATGGCTACATATATTTAATTATACTACTTGTTGTTGGAATAATTTGGGAGTAAACATCACTAGTGATGTCAAATTTACTATAAAAGAGATTGATAAGGATTTTTGACAGAAATATATATGTCAAATTTGTGCAAAAAAAAACATTTTTGCACAAATTAATGCATAGGTCACTATCTGTGGATGGCTCAATATGAATTGCCCTTTTCAATTTGTTACGTGTTAATGCATAATTGAAACCACTTATGACTATGTTAGTGGAATAGTGGGGGAGGCCACAAAGAGCACATTTTTTTCACCATAATACTTTGCCGGCCATATATACGATCGACTCCAATAACATTACATGCTTTAATTTCCACAATCTTTATTTCGACTTCGTCTTACCAAACATTCTGTTCGACCAAACACATGTGATGATGTAATATAATTTACGCAACCTGTTTTTTCCATTCATTTGGTTCAAAAGATTCACAGCTATTGAGCATTATACATACAAATATTTTACATAATCACATGTTTGCGATTACAAAGTTACAGTAGCTCGTATAATTCGTATTCATGGGTGTTTTCTTAAAACATGGGAAATTGGGAAACTTATGTAGCACGGAAATTTTCGGGAAAAAGTACGTTTCCGTTTCGGAAACTCTTTGGAAACTTTACAAATAGTTGTTTTTCGAGTAAAAGATGGTGTTTCCCGTTTCCCGTTTCCTCTTGATTGTCACGTTTCCGTGCGACATAGGGGAAACCTACCCATCATATTAGGTAAAAGAACTGGAGAATTTGGTTGAGGAGGAGAAGAGATTGATGATTCCGTTCAAATTCCCATATTCCAGTGTTTAAGCGTTACTTATAGCGGATTTCGTTATTGATGTGTCACAAGGGAGTATATGTAGGAAAATGTGGGTCGAGCCCATGATATGAGCCAACTAGGTCCGACTACATATCTAATAGATACAAATGAATATATACTTGAAACATATAATAATATAACTAATACAGAGTATTTGCTGAACGTATGTAAACCACTGTTTAAACTCAATAGTTGTAAGACCGAGGGTTTGAATCCATATACTCTTTCAATATGATACAATACTTTTATTTTGTACACAACAGAAATAAAGATAAACAAATTTACGATCTAAGAAATTTTAAAAGCTATAGGTCATGGATAATGCTTTTTTTCAAGTTTAAGTGAGGGTGTATATTATACATCGCGTGAACGTGATATATGAATATATCATTAGCATCTTGGATTCAAGGTAATGAAATGAATATCTTTTTTGTTGCTTGGTGTACACCCGCTTTGTACACATTGCGTGTACACTCTCGCAGTTATTTGTTTACAATGCAGTTTTTGAACGAATTGTTTATGTAGACACAAAGCTAGAAGGATGTACCGTGTACAAAAAGTGTGTACTAATAGGATTTTGCTCTTTTTAATTAACACAATGTGAGCACGCGTACTTTTCAAATACGTATCGAGGAAAGAGTCAATTAAGTACATCAACTTATATGAGGTGGAGTAAAGAGTTCACCAAATTGCATTTGATATTTTTAAGTACACAACCTTGGATTTTAGTGTTAACTGAATATACTCGTTAGATTAATATGTTAATATGTCTAAGTTGGCTAACAGTGTTAATAGGCCGACCACCTGAAGGTCGTCGCCAGCCCCTAGCCCATTGGTCGACTTTCCTTGGTTGACGTCAGTTCCTCGTAGGTCGAATTCCGCTTGTTCGATGCACCCCCGCAGGTCGACCTCTGAAGGTCAACTTTCCCATTTTGGTCGACTTCCTGAAGGTCGATGCCATGACTGTGGTCGATTACCTCTTCTTACTTAGCATTTCGTTAGCCAACTCAGTCATATTAACGTGTTAATCTAACAAGTATACTCAATTAACACTTAAAACCCGAGTTCGTGTACTTACGGATGTCAAATGCAAAATAATGTACTCTTTACTCCACTTCATACAAGTTGACGTACTCAACTGACATTTTCCTCAATACATATCTTACAGACACATAAGTATTGAACGAATGAAGTTTGGATTAGTGGATACTGGATAGATACCAGTCGGACCACCTTACATATAATATATAATATAATATTATTAATAATGATATAACAGGGCTAGAGTGTGCAATCTCTAACCCAAAAACGAAGTTCGAACAATTGGGTATACAAAAAGTCTTCAGCTCGTTGAAGAAAATGGTGCTAAAGCCTAAAGAGTCGAGGCTATACAAAAAATTGCATATTGTTCAAATTCGAAGTTCGAACAATTGACTGAATTGAGCTCGAATGCTCGATGGGGCCTATAATTCAAATTATAATTAATTGATGGTTGTTGTGAAATGAAGAAGATGCAGGATATAGATTTAAGAGATAGATATATTGTTAAAAAGCTCTAAATTACTTCTTCTCTATATCTGAAATTTCTGAGTATCTGAATTGAATTACAAAGGATTGATCAAGCCCTATTTATACTAGCTGGGCTTGGTGATGAATCATCAAAGAACAGTTCTACATATTTTGCTGATAGAATTAAACCTAGCCATCTGTCTATTACAAGGCCTTGAATTGGATTAGTGTCCTGATGACAAGGATGAACAATTCACACTTGTCATTCTCAGGAATTTACAACACTCCCCCAACTTGTCATTCTCAGGAATTTACAACACTCCCCCTTGAATGTTCATCCTTGAATATGTATTTTTTATTTTAAAAACTTATTTGTGAAAATTAAGGGGTAAAGATTACGACATATAATGTCGTTGTATTTGGATGTACTGTCTCGTTAAAAACCTTATCAGGAAAAACCCAGTGGGATAAAAACCTGATGAAGGAAAAAAGAGTGCAGTGCATTCAAATAATCCCCCTGAATTTAGCATAAATTATGAAGGCGGCGCATGCCGATTTTCTGTACAAGTTCTATGAACTTCTTCGGGGGTAATGACTTGGTGAAGAGATCAGCCGGATTTTCACTGGATCTGATTTGTTGAATGTTGATCGTCCCTTCTTTCTCCAGATCATGTGTAGAGAAGAACTTTGGTGATATGTGTTTCGTTCTGTCTCCTTTGATGTAGCCTTCTTTAATCTGAGCTATGCACGCAGTGTTGTCTTCGTAGATCACAGTCGGGTGACAAGTAATAGGCTTCATACCGCATTCATTTTGGATGTGTTGAATCATAGACCGCAGCCACACGCATTCCTTTGATTGTTGAATCATAGATCACAATCATCAATTAACTCCGAATGATTTGATGATGTAGCTGTCAACGTCTGTTTCATAGATCTCCACGAGATTGCGGTATTACCATAAGTAAATACGTACCCGGTTTGTGATTTTGCCTTTTGAGGATCTGATAGGTATCCAGCGTCTGCATATCCGATTAAAGAAGCTTTTGCATCTTTGTGGTAGAATAGGCCGAGATCAACTGTACCACGGAGATAACGGAATATGTGCTTGATCTCGTTCCAATGACGTCTTGTTGGGCATGAACTGTACCTAGCTAATAAATTTATAGAAAATGCAATATCTGGTCTAGTATTATTAGCTAAATACATTAAAGCTCCAATAGCACTCAGATATGGTACTTCGGGACCGAGTATTTCTTCGTCGTCTTCTCGGGGACGGAATGGATCATCGTGTATGTTGAGAGATCGAATG